TCGAAGACTGATAAAGGGGGTCGAGTCGGCTATAATACAAATTAAATTATATTACGCGATATGTGTGTTTGTTCTGTTTCTTCCAAAAGCAATCAGTGAATAGGAAAATGGAAACACTGCTGTTACCATATGTGAAAAATGCTGGTTTCATAACATATTATCTCTATTATTCTATACAATTCTGTAGGAAACGGCGTTATATGTTTACATCTATTGGGTAATTAATCAATAAGTGATTTTCCACTCTTCTCTTGAGTAAAATGAAAAGACACAATTCATGCGAAATTTGAAATTTTGCTTTATATTTCTGCTGTAGATACTGGCTAACTTTCCAAACTCATCTGATTGACCTTTTCAAATAGAAAAGAATTTGATTAGCATATATTCTAAAACTCAGAATTTTTCAATGTGTTGAGAAAATTTGTCTTTCCACTTCTTCATCTTTGAAAAAAAAAGTTGTTTGGAAAGTATTTTTATTTCGTGTTATTGAATGTTTATATGGAAATAGCTGCTTCGAGAAAGTTTTTTTCAGTTTATGCCTGAAGGTTACTTCTTTGCACGATCAACACATTTTCGTAAAGAAAACATTTCTTGAAACTGACTGTTTTTTTCATTTCTTCATAAAATTTCCACTTTTTTTTTTAGGAGATGGAGAAGTAAAACCTAAAGTTATTCTCTCCTCAAAATACACCCCTTCCAATCTCTAATTAGGTTTTAATTTTTTATGGTATCATTCAAATATGTATGAAAAAAGAAAACACATTTTTGAGTTGCTCCTTTTCAAGCTGTACAAAATGAGTCAGCTTTTTTGTTGACGATTCCTTTGGAAATTACAATAGTTTCAAATGGGTAGCTTTTAGACACACTGTATTTATATTGTGGGCATAAATTGCCCATTCCTTCTCGACTTTCGAATAGAAAATAATATCAAATTTTGACAAGATTCACATGTAAAAACATTATTTTTAATAGTGACAATAGAGTTGCATCACTGGTCGCATCATTCATCGCATTACTTAGCCTACCAATTTCATTCTTAAATAAAAAACAGTTGTGATACATCGTTTGATATAGGTATCATTCAGTCCTCTATTCGTTAGTGTTTCACTTTTGGAAATCAAATTAGCAGTTCCAGAGTAATTGGTAGTTTTGTATGCGTTTTCGGAATATTTTCAAGACAGAAGTGAATTCAATTAATTCCATCAAATGTTTGGAATGCTAGTATAAACAATTGCAGAAAGTCACTACATGGTCAACATGGTCAATAAACTACGATTTTCACGTTATACATAAGTTCATATCCTTCTTATTGAAACCAACAGTGCAACTTATATAACAATTCCTTCACAAAACAATCTGAAATTCTACGAATTTCGTCTTGTATCAAACGATGAAAAACTTGTGACTAAATCGATAGAATTGTTCGGAAGCTTCATCTCTCTTGTTATTTTTAATGGAAAAGGTGTGGAGTTTCCTCCTAATTGATTTCTATAAAATGTATGCTTCTGACTCACTTCCTGGAGGAAATGAATGAGTTGCGAGGGGTAACAGAGCGACGTTCGACATCAACGAACATTAAATACGCTTCCCAAAGTTGGTGAACAGAAACCCTTCTTGTATTTGTAGCGTTATTTGGAATATATTCAGAAATTCACCTTTATAATTATTATTATTGATCAGGTTTTTTCATAAGTAGGTGGCATATATGCATAAGAAAAACACATTATTGTAAATTGGAAGTTTAGGAATTTTGATATCACTCAATACTATTTCCAGATGAATGGTTCACTGCTGATATTTCCACAAAAACTTGAATCAATGATTTTTTTGACCTTTTCAAAAGTCAGACGAGTAGAAAAAACTCAGGTAAACATTAATATCTATACCTATATGGTGGGAAATGGATTCGAATGAGGTCAGTCTAGTTCCGAACACTCAAATGCCACCACGCCGTGAAAACAATTCCAGTAGGGACCAAAATCACAGAACACGGATTGAAACCCGAAAAACAATTACCCATACACCCTATCCGTGGAAAACTTCGAGCTAACATTTCAAATTATTACGTGGAGAAAAGGTCAACCGAGTATAAAAAACACAGGTGGAACATTAACATCTATATTATCTATACATTAGCCAACATTTCAAACCTTTACGGGGAGAAAAAGTCAACCGAGTATAAAAATCTCATGTGGAACATTAACATCCATATTTATATAGTAGGAAATGAATTCGAGCAAGGTCAGTCTAGTTCCGAACACTTAAATATCACCAGTAGATGGCAAATGAAATTTTGCCGAAACGTTGTGAAAACAATCCCAGTGAGGACCAAAAACACAGAGCACGGATCGAAACCCGAAAAACGATTAATTAGACGCCCTATCCGTGAGAAATTTGGAGCTAACATTTTAAACCTTTACGGAGAGAAAAAGGTCAACTGAGTATAAAAAACTCATGTGGAACATTAAAATCTATGTTTATATAGTAGGAAATGGATTCGAGCAAGGTCAGTCTAGTTCCGAACACTTGAATATCAACAGTCAACTTCAACGCCTTGTATATATTCACTGACGTTTTCTATATTGGGTTTTCTCATTGATTTGCTTATATCTAACAGCAAATGTATCTGATTATACTTGCACCATAACAGTTCTTAATTGTTCCTTAGTTTTGATACAGACAAACAAACAAACTTTTTCAAAGTCAATCACATGACAGCTGTCAGTGTCAATTGTTTGTTCTGAAAGAAAAAACGATTTTTAGAGAATTGATTCAATAATCTTCCTTATATCAGTGAGGAGTCAAACTCTTTTGATGTAGTGACTTGGTTTATTTCATTGACATGTTTCAATTGTTTGAATAAACATTATTTTCGAGGCCATCCTCACTAACAGTGAGTTTGAGCCCTTTGTAACAATTTCATATTGTACTTTCGTCATACAAATTCTGTAGCTTCCTTGAAGATGATAATAAATTTTATCGAAATATTGGAATAACTTGATCACCCTGAATATATGGAAGATGATATTATTTGTTTGGGAGGAAGAACAGATAACTCTACAGAGCTCTCTCCTCAAGCAAAGAGGCCAATCATACTAGACAATAAACACACATTTACTAGATTACTTGTTCAATTTTATCATTCAAAAAACAAACTCTACAACAAACTCTAAATGAAATAAGGCAAAGATTTTGGATACTGCAGGCCAGAAAACTGGTAACTAAAACAATAAGGTTTTGCAATTTCTGTAGCATAAGAAGAACAAAAGCTCAGATTCCTGCAATGGGACAACTTCCAGAGCAACGACTGCAGAAACCACCTAGAGCATTCACCTATACTGGAATGGATTATTTTGGACCCATGGAAGTTTCTATTGGACGAAGAAAAGAAAAAAGTTATGGGGTAATCTTCACATGTCTTTCAATTAGAGCTATCCATATAGAGATCGCAGAATCTCTCACCACAGATTCAGCGATTTTAGCAATAAGGAGATTCATTTCTAGGAGGGGACAGCCTTTATCAATTTGGAGCGACAATGGTTCAAATCTTACTTCAGCAAACCGAGAATTGAAGGAGATAATCAGAAATTTAGACGAAGATTTGATCAAGAGGAAGATGGTATCTCAGGAAATTGATTGGAAGTTTATTCCACCACTTCAAATTGAATAAATTGAACTGAAAAGTCTTTGAGATACTTTTGTTCGCCTTCTTTAGCCTACAGTGATCGTAAGTATCGATATTAGGTCGAATCCAACTCACTGGAACAACTGGAATTGAATGCTAGTTTGTATCAAACTCCTAGTGTTGCACTTCTGATGGATACATCATAATACAACATGAAAAAGTTGGTGTGAAGCATGCGTGTGAATGTGCGAAAAATATGTGCATTATGTAATATCTGGGGGCTAACAGACCCGTATGGCAGGATATCGACAGAAAATGACCTCGTTTTCAAGTTGAAGATCACACTTAATCAGTTTTCAGGTCGAAGTGTGGAAATACCTCCTTTTCAGTTGAATACACACCTCATATGGTATATTGGCTTAAATCTTGGATAATATTGGGTACGGTCAGATATTGCAATATAGTGTTGCATTTCAAACGATTAGATTGTATTGCAATACGTGAAAGTTCTTGTTAAGCAAGCATATGCATGTGTGAGAAATATCAATCTATTCTACTGCATGTGTTGGCCCTACGCATCTCTTTCGGAAACTTCGCAAATTTCCGTATAGCATAACCTTGACAGTGAATAAACTCACGTTCAGTTTCAATCTCAAACCAAACTGCTTTTCAGTTGAAATCATATCAATATCATCTACTATATGGCTTCAGATTTGTAATAAATTATGTTTCGAAAAGAAAAACGTACTGTGACATTTTTAATTATTACATCGTTTTTAGGCATGCGGAAGTTTATGTAGGGCATGCATATGTGTGAAAAATATCAGTCTGTTCTCTTGTGAGATGTCAAGTGTTGACACTACATGTCTACAAATTTCCGTCTAGCATGACATTGGCGGAGAAGTCAAAGTCAAATTTTATTATTCATTTTTGATACATGAATGTATATATGACACGTCACATTTTACAACAGATATTTTATCTAATATAACTTATGTCAATAACAGCACATGTTACACAAAAATATTATTTTCATACTCTTTCAGGGAGTAAAAACAACTTGTTACCAAAAAAGTCTTTGACTTTTATCTTGAATTTGAGAAAATTTGTTTCACTTCTGATGCTGTGTGGTAGGTAATAAGTTAAAATATTTTGCCCCGGCATAAAGTGGCGAACCTTTGTAGTCATTACGGTTTATTTTTTCCTGATGATAGTGAATTTCCTCATTTCTTGTTAGCAAATGGGAATGGTCATGAACGTAGCTTAATATTTTGTGAAGATAAATACACGGTAATGTGAAAAATTTTTTGTCTTGGAATGTTTTCTTACAAGATTCTCTGTATTTGAGATCAAAAGTTAGTCTAATTGCATTGCAATTGCATTATAAAGATTCTATTCATTTCTGATGAGTATTCCCCAATGGTAATATTTATATTAAGCTCAAAATACACTAGACCATAGTATATATTCAAGAGATTATGTCTCAAATAATTGAATTTCATTGTCAGGAAGGCAAAATACATTATTTTCAGATAAGTACACAAGTATTCGATGTGATTATTGAAAGACAATTTATTGTCAAGTTGTGTTCCAAGAAATTTTGTATATTCTGTTGTTTCGAAACCTAGATTTATTTGGAGAGGACGCTGATACTTGAAAATAGGATAAATGTTGTTTTATCTTCATTATTTAATAAATGATTGTTTCTACACCAACATTCGAATTAATTGATTACTAGTTTTGTTTATTTTCAATTTCATTTAGACATGAGGACGTCACAATGATTGTTGTGTCATCGGCATACATGAAAACTCGACCCTCGAGAAAAACCTAGCATTCAGTTTCAAGGTTAAACCAAACTTCACCATCAGATCAGGCAAATGTGTGGGGAAAAAGAGACCAAAGTGAGTTGATACACACATTTCAGTTGAAGTTACGTCAATATCATCTACTATGTTGCTTCAAATTATGATGTAATTAAATTTCAAAAAATTATGGTGTAGCATTTCGAATCATTATCAAATATGTGGTAGTTCGTGTTAGACATGCATGTGCGTGAAAAATGTCAGTCCGTTCTCCTGTAAAATGTTGTGTTGAGTCTACGCATCTATTTTGGGTACCTCACACACATTCGCCTAGTAAGACGTTGACAGATAATAACCTTGCATTTATTTCAAAGTCAAAGCAAACTTGGCGGCTAAATCTGGTAATGAGAGGTGAATGAATTTATTTTCGATCAAAGTAATGGCATATTTTACTTTCCAGTTATAGTTACGCCGATGTCATATGCTGTGAAGGTCGTAACGGAATGCAAAAGCTACGTGCAATATCAAAATCGACAAGTTTTTTGTTATACGTAACCAAGAAATACAGGTACAAACTATAGAAAATCGGCTCATCAAAGCAGTTGTCTCTTCAGACAATTTTTAAATTCTAACCAAACCCCAAGATTTTCTCAATCCTAAAATATTTCTCTTCCGAATATGTATTCTGTAATTCAATTTCAATCTTTTCCGTGTTTTCCCTACATAAAATATACCTAAATAATAACTGTTTTTTCATTCGTCACAATGATTACAACATTGCACAAGATTCAGATCTTAAATTCCATTGGTTAGTTACAAACAAGAAAAATTCACTCTCTGAACTCTTATTTCTCATCAATTTCAATCCGCCCTAACCTTACCTTTGCATAGCTCAAGTTGAGAATTTTCAGATTAATACTTCACGAGATTCGACAATATCTACACATGCACGTTAGTTACTCTCTTCAGTGCATACTACTTCAACACCTATGTCCTAAATTACAATTCGTCCTAACCTTACCTTGGCACAACTCAAGTTGATAATTTTCAGGTTAATACTTCACGAGATTCGACAATATGTATTATCAATACGAAGGTACGTTATTTACCATCTTCAGTTCATACTACTTGAACACCTATGCCTCAAATTACAATTCGTCTTAACCTTACCTTGACACAACTCAAGTTGATAATTTTTAGGTTAATACTTCACGAGATATTACAGTATTGTTTATCAAATGCACGTTATTTAATCTTCTCACTTCACACTACTTCAACACCTGTCTTAAATCGATTACAACATCAAGGCTTTCGGCCGTTCACACACACAGACCCTACTTTTTAATATGGAACAGGTCGTTTGGAAAATTATTCAACCCACACGAGGGTGGCAATGACTGAATTTCATCTTCAATGCTAGATAGTATTGGGTCGAGCGCGCAGAGTTATTTTATTTTTATTTTCAATACAGTGGATCGTGCGGCATCTGAATGGTGTATGAAATCTTGTGGATATGGGGAAATCTGACAACACTGTCTTATGGAGATTCCCATGTTGGGAAGAAAATTTCCAAAACGGAGCTTGGCTTTTTCTCCAAATCTACATGGTATTTCCCATAACGCGGTGTTGCCATTTGCCCCATGTCCTCATAGCTACTCTACTCACGTGGCGCGTTTTTTGTAAAACCCCTTATAGTGAAAATCATACAATAAACTATAGTAATTAGTTTTTTTATATCAGACAATAGAAGTCTGAACCAATAAAATTCAGATTTTTTTCGTTCATTCGTAGAATATCTCTGATAATCTCCCTCTCTCTCCCTTAATAAGTAATTATAGCGTAACAAATTTCGGAAGATTCAAAGAATCTGTGTAACGTCAGAGTGTCACATTTCCATATTTAAAACACATTTGTGCAATTTGGCAACCATAATGATTTGTGTGTCATACATATTGCACCAAAATACGTAATTCTAACTGAATCAATCACCAAGCTAAAAGTAGGTACCCCGGTGCATCGAACAGACAACTACCAATTTACGTTTCTTATTAATTGTTTATAATCATCACAAGTTTGTGTGAAGGTTTTTTATTTTAAATATAAGTATTGGGCGGTGAATTACAGCATATAACATAATCTCAACGAATTAATAAATGCGTCTTTGCCGTATTTCGTTACACGGTAGCTTCATCAGTTACCTATTAGTACATCAAAGTATTCTACAAAGTCCTACATTTAAAAATAGGTATTAATGAATTTGGTGGAACAGGTGAATTTTAATAAACAATCAGGTACAATGCGATATTACTTCTAGGAAACAAGTAAAATATTGACATTTATTGAGCGGTAAATCACAACATAGAATGCATAGATCATGAGCTCGACGAACTAACGAATGCGGATTTGCCAGATTGGTTAAATGACATCATATCTACCGTAGTTAGCGTAACTATTTCCCTGTCAAATTCGAAATTTCTAAATTATATCATGAGGGAGGGCATGCCAGTGTACAAACGATTTAAAACCAATTCACAAGTATACTTGAGACATCTGTCTCTGCTATTAGGTATAACCATCTGGTTACAATATCAAAAAGGTTGGATATATGATGGAATCGTCCAATACTTGATGAAAATCCATAACGTATTCAAAAAACACTGGGTGAGATTTACACTAAACAGTAAATAAACGCAACACGTGTTTCGTCATACCATACCTTTTTACGGTTGGAATTTCATTAACTAATATATTATTATGTTCAATTCTATAACGATAAATGGCAATCTCCATTTCAAACAAAAAATGAAGAAAAAACTAAACAACTTATAATTTCTTTCAGAAATTAGAGATAAGTTCCATGCCAGAACAGACCAATCATGCTTTATTTCAACTAACGGGTGCTTTAAGAAATTTAGTATCTGAAGAACATATCTATGAAACCTTCATATCATGCGGAGCCATTTCACAACTTTGTCAAACGATGGAGTTATTTTCAGCAGATCTGGATACTGTGGCTAATATTTCAAGAACACTGAGGTAACTTGCCATGATAGATTTAATTTCATTTTCAAGAAAATGTCAAAAGTAGGATTTATGCTTGATATAAAACATTCTTTTAAAGCATAATTTCAACCAACGAATGTTGCTGTGACGCCCTAATTGACTACAAAAAAATCTACAAAATAATGATCAGTTTGTTTGAAAAGTATCCTGGTAGTGAAGAAATAGTAGTTCGTTTGGCGTACACCTTGGGAAACATTGTTGCAAAGATCGACAACACTAGAGTAAAGGTACAATTATAACATTCCCTTAAAGATTCATTAACTAAACTTACGTTCCAGTTCTACTATGAAGAGAATTCCGTGGAGAGTCTTCTGAATTTGTGGAAAATATATTTGGAACGCACACTTAAGAATTGTTCGATTAAATCTGAAACCTATGGAGCTTTCATTAGTAATCCAGAAGATGTGATGATCAAGGTAAAATCATTCACAAATTAGATGATGCTTTGTGTCAAAGTTCTTTTCCCAGTTTGTTGGTCATGCTCTGCAGTTTTTTATGCCTATCGTTTCATCTACAACAAAGGTAGACATCGAAGGCGATGAGGCAACCGATGATGTGCTCAGATTATCCTCACAGTAGGTACTCAAGGTTTGGGTCTACGGTTTCAGTCCATCGATTGGTTGAATTAAACGACCTCTTCTTACGAGTGTAATTTAGTAGCCAAACTTCATTGATTTTGATTACCATCACCACCATCAGTGGAATAAAATTGGAAATAAAACTTTGAATGTAGTATCTGTTGTTCGGACAACACGAGCACTTCGTCTAATCTTTGAGCTGCAGGCTACGGCAAACAAATCCGGGTAATAGCTTCCACTATAACAAAGTATAAGGTGGGTGTATTATTTTTGTAAAATATTAATTCCAAAACACATGTGGAGGGAACCTTATCAGTTTTCAGCAAAGCTCTTATGATCAAATACGACAGAGCCACTTCGTTAAAATTAACTGCTTCAATCAACTTCACTATTCGTAAGGGTCGAAAATATCTTATCGACTGTAAACCCCAATAAAAATAATCATAAAGAGGTAATCAAAAGTATCTATTGAAGAAACGAAATTTATTTCATGAAGAGGTCAGATGTCAGACGAGACTAAACATCGTTAATTTTAACGACATGATAATTAAATAAATGCTAGAAACTGAACAAAAATATCAAAATAGTGATACGAGTGACATCCAGATATGAGTAGCAGGCTCACTTCATTAGAAATAGTGGACACTTGTCGGTAATTCTTGCGGACTTATCCACCGGATTTGAAGAGGCCGTTAAGTGTATGAATCTGGAAAATAATTCTACTCATTCTAATTGGTACGAAATTTCCAGGGGAATTTGAATTGCATCCCCTAACAAAATTTTTTGTCTGAAACGTTTCTGGAAAAAATAAAAAAAAGAATTGTCAGTCGTGCGCGGACCCCGAAGCTCTCGACCGGGTCGGTTGGACCCCTGGGGGATTCCTGGGGAAATTCCTGAGAGATTGAAATACGGATTTCAAGTCTCTGTTTTGCGACGCGATTTTGTTTTTTTTAAGGCAAAACACAAGCACTACAGGAAAATACTTAAGGTGTTCTCAGAGCGGTGCCTGTGCGAAAGAAGCGATTCAAATTGTATTTGAATCGCTGGAGTTCAAAGCCATTTGAAAAAACGTTCTCAGAAAATGAATTCCAAATGAACGCAGTTCTTCAGCTGAAAGAGTTCTTAAACAACGGAGTTCGAGGCGTACTGAGTTGAACTTCAAAACGTTGAGCAGCCACAGTCCGTTGCGTATTTCAGATATGGTGGAATCAAATGTGCCAAGTCACTTGAATACCTCCCGTGAAAGTATCTATAGGAGAGAGACAAATCTCCAACTATCGTCGATGTTCCAGGCTATCAAGGTTGAGCGTGATGTTTGTGTCTACAATCATGGGGATGGGTTTTTTCTGGATGGAATCCAGCAACTTCAGGGTATGTTTGGGGGCAGAGCTCTATACATGAGAACAATACTCCAAAGGAAAGTATGATCTGAGCTTTATAAAGCATCAAAAGTTGCTCAGGTGTGTACAGTTTTCTGGTTCGGAACACTGTTGGTTTTGAGAAGCAGCCGTTGCAATTCCAGCGACATGAGTGTGCTAAAACATATTGGTGTTTATTTTACCTCCCAACAAACTCATCGAAGCAAAAAGCGGAATTGTCTGGCCTGACATTATTATATCCGGTTCAGAGACATTCTTGGAGAACACCGATGCCTGAATTTTTGTGGCATTGAATTGAATCTGTTTACTTTCACCCCAATTCGAAATCACTTCTAGATCCCCATTAAGATATGCAACCTCGTGCTGCCGGGTAAGATGTGCCTCCGTAGCTGATGTTCTGGAATCCAAAAGGAATGATTAGACAAGTGTGCTCTTGTCAGCAAAGCTGTATATTGGATTCTTTGGTTGTTTCCAATAAGTCGTTGATATTCAATAAAAATAGGGTTGAAGACAATATGGATCCCTGAGAAACACCAGCGTTAATGGTGGAAGTATTCGAGAGAATCCATCGACGGCCACTTGCAGGGAACGTTATTTCAGGAAGCTGAAGAGCCATACACAGAAATGATCCGATAAGCCATAGCATCGAAGTTGGGCCAGCAAACCCTCATGCTACACACGGTTAAAGGCCTTAGAAATATCAAGCGCTACAGCTCTTGATTCTCCATGTTTCTCGATTCTCAAATATGGATGACATACGATAGAAGGTCGCCTGTTGATCTTTGTTATGAGGATAATAATTATTCGCGGTTCATTCAGGTTTAGCTGACTTGAGGTAAAGAAATCAGTAGCGTGGAGAAATTATTAAGGGAATTCGCGAAGTGATTTTGATATCGGTGTTCATTCGCGGTTTATTGCGGTATAGTTGATTGAGGAAAAATTTAGTTTGGGTGAAAGTGGCTTTTGCTTGTTGTTGAGCTTCAGGAGAGTTCCATCTTCGATTTAATTAGTAAGCGTATCTTCAATCTTGTTTTCTTTTTTATTATTAGGTTATAGCGTATGATGAACGTTATACAGGGAGGAACGATTAAATGGTTCTCTTAATTCCTCATAGATGTATTTCATTTTATTTTTATAGCTATTCTATTAAAAAGTAGGCAAGACATACTTTTGTCCTGAGTGATTTCAATTAGATTGTTGTAGGAATAATACTGTATTTATTTTATTGAGGTTTTCTTAGAGAATTTCACATGGTTACGTTTATACATTTTTCTTTCTAATTGCTCCCTGTTATGATAATATTCAGTAAATCAGAGATAAGAGAAGATTATCAATATTGCTTTATTTATGTTCATAGTGTTTAGACTCTAATCATCTTAATTGGTGGCATAACCACGCCGTTCCGCTCTGCGAAGGTAGAAAAATGAATAATTCATCAGTTGACCAAGCCAACCACTAATTCCAAATCTGTGTGATCAGAACGGAATCCAAACTTTTCTGATCTGGTGGCAGCAACTCTCGCGCTACCAAACTGATTTTAAAAGTACCTAATTCCTTCGGCTGAACGCTCCCATATACAGAGAATGTGAATTTTTCTTGCGGAAAAATAATTAGGATTATTATAGATATATCATTAGGAGTATGAAGGAATCGCTTTCAGATCGACGGTCAGTTACTACATGACGCAGTTATGTAAATGTCAATGTTTACATTCTTTAATATTCCATTATTCACATCAATTACTATTCAATGTATTTCAGATAATCAGAGTTATCGCAAATATCGTCATTAATCCGGAGATCGGAAAGGCAATGAATGAGAAATATGGAAACCAGCTGATTGACGAAATACTCAAAGTACTTATCAGTAATCCCTTTAAGAAAAATGAGGAATTAGTTTTGTCTATTCTCAGTACACTGAATAATTTATCATATTATTATACAAGTGAATTAGAAGTTGACATTTTCCATGTGAAGCAGGTTGATATAGTTGAAGGTAAGAAATATTTTATTATTCAACAAACGAGAAATTTTTTTTATTCTTGAGAATGAATCATTTAAGCGAGTAATGACCTTTTCTCGCAAGCAGAATACTACACTTTCTCTATGACGTATTTATTTATAAGTCTGGGAAATGTTTTGAAAAAAATTATATAATAAACACAAATTCTACCTAACCTAACAGTTCAATTCGAGTAAAGTAGGTACAGGGCATGAAAAATTTAGAGACAGTGATTTTTTCAATTGAGGAAAGCTAATCCCAACGAGTTCACCCTTAAAAGAAATTCCAAGCCGCATGAGTCGTGACATTATGTTGAAATATCTCTAATTAGTGGTAAGGCTCCGAGTTGTTTCGATCAGAATTCTGAATAACAAAGTGGATAACAGATCCGAACAGTTAAGATCACCTGCCAAGATTTTTTGTGGAAGTAACAAATCTTTTCTAATCCGACTTTTCTCTAGAGTGACTAGATTCAAAATAGTTAAGGTTGTATTATATCCGTAAGTACCCCACATACATCCTAATTGGTATGCACAGATCATGTAAAAATCAATTCTGAACTGATTCTCTATTTCATTTACATGTACAGAATAATAAGGGTGCCATACAGTGGATGCATATTTAGAATCGATCCAACATAGGCAAGTTTATACATTCAGATTTATATAATTCCTGGTATAAAACCCAGTAGTTCTAGAAACTTACTAATTATAGAATTCGTATGAGGAAAAGGGTCAGAGATTCGTCAAAGAGCCACAACGCATAAAGAACCATGTGAAGTTTCCTGCCGTCATCATCCGAAAATGACATAAAACCAGAGTAAGTAGGAGATTTGAGCCGGTTCTAAGCCTCCCCCCACCACTATGACGTATTAATTGCTTTTTTATTGGTTGTTGTTTGGTGAAGTCAAGGTGATGTGACTTTGAAGAGTGTGGTGTATGGATCGTTCAGAAATTTTTTCCCGGTTTTAATCCCCCCCCTCACCAATATGACGTGATATTTGCTTTTTTTGTTGTGCAGTGAAGTCAAGGCGTTGTGACCTTGAAGTGTCTGGTGCATGGATCGTTCAGATTTTTTTTTCATATGAGATTTTGTGTGTGTATGTGTGTGTGTGTGTGTAAGAGAATGCAAGGTACAGGGTTTCATCATGTGCTTGTTTGTCTATGTACAAACATACGTCTGCATACTTCGAAGATCCTCCAAGTAATGAATGCTCCATCGGTGTGAGGGCACCAAGTTAGTAGTGGAGTGACGTCACAGCAATAACCGTTCAACGGCTAGAGAGCGACATGTTCACTCCACGACGTGTGGCAGAGTAATGCGTATTCATCGGTCTGCTCTCACCTCCCTCGATGTAGTGAAGGATGTGACGTAACGCCCCAGACTCGCCATCAATGGTGACACGCAGGCGGGCGAGGACTGTGCTAACGTCTGTCCTCTCCGAGAGCGCAACGACAATTGCTTGTTCGTATATCGCTCTCGAAGCAGTGAATGATGTGACGTAACGCATCACCCTACCCTCGCTATTGATGGTGACACGCAGGCGGGCGAGAACTGTGCAAACGTCTGCCTTCTCCGAGAGCGCAACGACCACTGCTTGCTCGTGCCGGCAACTGTTATCGCATCAAATTGGGAGATGAGCTGGGCTGTGACGTCAGGCATCTCTAGTGGATGCATCGATGTGTCCTTACCTACCCTCACTCTCGACGGTGATGCGCAGGCGACGTGGATTATGGTATTTAAGAAGCGGGCGAGTGTTGGTTATGTCAGTTTCCATCGAGTGAGTTAGTGAGAACATATCATAGAAAATGTATTCTTGTGAATGTGGTAAATCTTTCACCCGTAGTGACAACCTTCGTCGTCATCAGCTCCAGAGTTGCCAAGGAGGTCCATCAGTAAAACGAGTGAGATTAGATGACGCTGCAGCACCTATGTACACATGTAATTGTTGTAATGTGATGATTCCATTGACTCAAGTGAATTCTCACAATAGAACTCTACAA